AATGACTCCCCCACAATCTACAAACATCAAAAATATTCACAACAAATATTCCTCAATTGAGTTGTTCATGCGTATTACTCTTTTGATTATTAACAAAAATTACATCAGAATAGGTTATTATTGGGTTTCTTAGTATTTCGACTATTTCTTACCTTTTTTCGAAAACAAATGGCAAGACAGCACTAAATTTTCGTAAGCACATAGCAACAAAAGCCGAAACAGATACATAAGTGGACGTTGCCGAACTTCCTGATAGAAATTAGATAATAACATACTCTTAGCGACTGCGTACTCTTACCCTCTGTTACCCTATCGGCAGCTAGAATATTTTTCTAGTCAAAATTATGATTAAATATTACCAGATCTTGAAACTCTAGAAAACTTTTTGCAGAGTGTAGTATAACATACCCAGGTTCGCTCAGTAAGATTGAACGATGAGAATTTTAATTACCTTCCAAACAACAAATCTCCTGAAAAATGAAATGAAAAACCAATAGGACCGACGTTGTGGATACTTACTCAATTTTACTTACTGGACATGCGCCCGACATAGCAATAGACCTATCTCGCATGATTAGAAAAAGAGAGCTTAATTGTAATAAATACAAGTTAGAAACCAATAAAAGATGACATGCGCGCGCAACTCGTAGGTTGCAGTGTAGCCAGATTGTATTGTTGCAGAATAAATGTAGACAATACAAATCGAATATTATAACATAAAAGAAGTGATATAGTGTCAAGTGTTTTACAATGCCTTATATCAGACAAAAGAAGAGTTTTAAAGTGGATGAACATCGTTTGCACTTTTATTTTGATAAATGTTTCCTCCGGCAACATCGCTCAATGAAATTGCAAAGGAATATGTCAAGTATAATCTTAAACGAAACTGCGGTGAGTTCAAGTAATATGTAAAGAATTAGTTTGCTCTTTGTCAAATTACACGTTACAAAGAAAGAAGGAACAATTCATTCTGAACTGGCCCCTGAATAAGAATATGATGCAAGCCTGTCACAAACTTGCTTCTCATTGGACGCTCACCTGCAGCCTACAAGCGACGCGCGCAGTCCAGGTAATAGGAGATAGGTCTATTATTTGGGAAATTTAAGGGAAGCTGTAATATGTAAAAGAAACGCAAAATTTGTGCAACGCCTCCTTTATTTTCAAAGAAAAACGTACCGTTCTCGACCTACTGGAATTAACGAGGAAAAAGAGAACGGAAGAGAAAAACTCGATTCCCCAAAAATCGAAACATACTGTGTCATTTTAGGTAAATAATCATTGTGAGTCAGTAATTCAATAATTTAGGTCAATAAAAGTTCAAATTAGGTACCGCCCCTGTTCTTGTGCTAAAATTTCAATTACACACACTACATTCAATCAACACTACCTTTATTCCAAACTGAAGAGTTTTTGGTTAGTTAGCCAGTTTCCCAGCAGGTACTGAGGTCCCATACGGGAAGCTACTCAGCTATAGTTGTTTTTGAGCCAATATCTCTAGATTGATTTTTCTCAATTTTGCTAGGATAGGAAAATGTAAGTAAATTCAACAAAGCTCTAATGCACGCTCTGAATACACAAAATCAAAATCTCAGCACATAATTTCTTAGGTTTTAATTTACTCTTTAGCTGTGTTGTTTATACAGTATGAAACGATTTTGGTTAAATACATAAACAATGCACATGTTATAAAAAATGTTATAAACAAACAAAAATGCATAAAAATGAACAAAATAAGAGAAACTTGCATAAATTGAACTCTCAAAAACAAAATAATAATTAATCCACTAACCTGTAAGTTCCTTGCACACACACTAATAACAAATTTGATTGAACAATTAATTTAAATGCAAATTAGGAATGAAAATTGAAAAATGAATAATTACAGACGCGCCACAAGCGTCTAAGGAACAGCGCCCAGCACCCAGCTTGTTTTCTAGTCTAATGCCTTCTTGCTTATTCTTTACTTCCCATTTGGTTCGGTACTCTTAGTCTAAGAGCCAGCACCGAAAAAATTCTCTGAATTTACTAAAGCTAGTTTTTGGACAGTTGATTACAGTATTTACGTACATAAACATACCGCGGTCAGTCAAGCGAAACTTGGGACAAGGACCCAGGGTGTCTTGTTGAAGGTGTCGAGATAACTTGGGTAATGCAACGAATTTACTAAAGCTGAAAATCGTTATACATATTATATATAACATATAAATAACAGTAGTGTTAGGCAGTCAGTTGAATAGCGGGACCGTGCTGGTCAGTCAGCCCCAATAAATGTAAAAATCTGCAAAAAATATTAATATTACTGAACAAACCTATTAATTTAGACTTCAACCTACAATTTTGAATTGTCACTGTCACGTTGTCACTCTAAAAAAAAATAGACCTATTATTTTTTTTACATAAATTCGGGCTGAACTACCTCAATGGGGCTGAATGACCGGCCCAGTTCCGCTATTCAACTGACTGACAAACATCACTGTTATTTATGTGTTATATATAATATGTATAGCGATTTTCAGCCTTAGTAAATTCGTTGCATTACCTAGCTATCTCGACAATTTTAACCAGACACCCTAGGTCCTTGTCCCAAGTTTCGGTTGACTGACCGAGGTATGTTTATGTACGTAAATACTGTAATCAACTGACCAAAAACTGGCTTTAGTAAATTCAGAGAATTTTTTCGGCGCTGTCTCTCCGGCTATCTGTTCTCTCGTTGTCGCCTAAACCTAAACTCCGTAGCGCAGTACATGGTTGCAATATTTACTTTTATTACGTAAATGTTTTTTTAAAAAGTTGAAATTTGAAGAAATAATATTTTAATAAGTGGTTCTTCTCAAGAGAAAATCAAGAGCCGAGAATAGCTCAAATATTGATCATTACTGGCTTTTGAATCAGTGGAGAATTTCTCTGAAGGAAATCAAGATCCAAGAAGAGTTCAGATTACGATGATCACCTGCTGGATTATTTTTCTAGTCAAAATTATGAGGCTCTTGAATCACTAGAAAACTTTTTGCAAAGGAAATTGAGAGCCGGGAATAGTTCAAATTTTGATGATTACTGGCTTTTGAATGATTAGTCAATTTTTCTGAAATAAATTAAGAGCCAAGAAGGGTTGAGAATTCGATTATCAACGGAGAGAATATTTTTCTAGTCATATTATAATTATTACCGGCTCTTGAATGACTAGAAAACTTTTTGCAGAGTAAATCAAGAGCCGCGAATAGTTCAAATTTTGATGAGTATTGGCTTTTGGTTTATTTCTCTAGAAGAAATCAAGAGCCAAGAAGGGTTCAGATTGCGATTATCACCGGCTAGAATATTTTTCTAGTCAAAATTATAATTATTACTGGCTCTAGAATCACTACCAAAGTTTTTGCAGAGGAAATCAACAGCCGGGAAAAGTTCAAATTTTGGTGATTACTGGGTTTTTGAATTATTAGAAAATTTCTCTGAAAGAAATCAAGAGCCAAGAAGGGTTCAGATTTCGATTATCACCGGCTGGAATATTTTTCTAGTCAAAACTATGATTATTACCAGCTCTTGAATCACTAGTAAACTTTTTGAAGAGTAAATCAAAATTGGGGCAGGGAATAGTTCAAATTTTGATGATGATTACTAGCTTTTGATTCATTAGAAAATTTCTTAGAAGGAAATCAAAAGCCAAAAAGGGTTCAGATTTCGATTATCACCGAGGCTAGAATATTTTTCTAGTCAAAATTATGATTATTACCGGCTCTTAAATCACTACAAAACATCTTGCAGAGTAAATCATTAGAAAATATCTCTGAAGATAATCAAGAGCCAAGAATTCTTGCTCTCTACTAATTCTTCCAGAACCTGTTGTAGGAGGTCGGGAAAGATCCCATCTTCAGCTGGTAATTTGTAGGACTGGAAGCTGTTTATAACCCAATTAATCTTATTTTCAGTTAATATAGTTAGGCGCGGAAGGCCTTTTACTATCATAGCCCTTTTTCCATCAGGTTGCCACTCGATCGATAGACCCTGGAAAGTGTGTTTGCAGAAGCAGTTTTAAGCATTCTTCTGTGGCCTCTATGTATTTATGGTCCGAGTAGGTAGAGCTAAATCCTCAAATAAACTATTTGTGTTTCGAATAAAAATCCTACAGACAGGTTATCCAACCCTTTTTCTCCTTATAATTCCATCACGTCATAATATTTTGCTTATTCCGAGAGAAATACAAATAAAATTGGAAACATTTGCCGATGGCGCTTCTGGCGTGAAGCTGTTTAACCGTCAAATTAAATAACTAGCTTCGCCGGAACATCTGGGACCCTTTTCCCGACGTAAATCTGCATCCCCAGGGAATACAGGAGAGAATTCCGGGAATATATAAGGTTTTTTTTTTATGTATTATTTAACATTTATAAAACATCGTTTAGTTGCATAAAACAAAATCTAATCCGTTGTAAGGGCGCGATGTGTAAATAAGGGCGCGTGTAATTTTTAAAGCCCTCCTCATTAATCAATTGAGGAGAGGGCATTTTGACTGATGATGATCTTCTATAAGTCAGAAACGGTATAGAAGGGACGTAATCCCTATGTAATCCTAGGATTTTGTTTTTGATTTATTTTGATACCATATGGAATATTTTCAATTATCCTGTATATAAGCTTTACCCATGTAAAATGGAATTGGGTGAAAAATTGGGTCGAGAAAACACTTGTAATTCTTAAACAAACTAGAAAATAATTTCTGAACAAAACTTGAAAAGTTTATTTGTAATTTTTCCGAGAGTATTTAAGGTAGAAATAGAAAGATAGCGATATTTTATCTCGTGTTTATCTAACACCTTTCAATTCAAAGCAAATAATAAAATTTTATACTTTAACATACATTCAGGTGCTGTGCAAATATAAACAATTTTTGTCACGTTATTACCCAATCGTTTTTATAACTAGGGAAATTATTTTTTTAAAAAATGTCGAGGAACAAAATAAAACTAATTAACTAACAATATAAAACAAATTAAATTTATTCAAACTTAAGACTTGAGAACATGATTCAAATAAGCTATATAACAAATGGCGAGCCTCAAAATTTCGATTTTCGATAGTTTTTTGTCGGGAGGCAATGTGGGCAAAAGTTTTCTGAGTTCCGCGAACGACACGTTGAAAGCTTCGACTCTGATCCGTTCTCTTGTAGCATGAGCCGTCCGGTATTTCTGAGTCGCTCTGCGTCGACGACGCCGTTCTTCTCTGCTCAGCATTGGTACGTCACTGGATTTGTCTCTAGAAATAAGGAACATTAGTAATTGGTATATTATTGGAAAGATGATTAAATCATAGGTGTCCTGAAATCAATTCTAACTTTGGCAATATTTGATGTATGAATTTGGCCGAAATGTCAATTTATAGAGGATTAAATTCTTCACAAAATGACACCACAACAGCTTTATAATTCAAAATTAGAGACAATCTGTATTTGTGACCTTAAAATATTCATTGCGATGCGCATTGTCAAAAAGTCAGTTTTAGTTCTATCCGAAGGGTAAACCGCACGTCAGTTTTTGTACACCAGATCGCGGCTTTAGGGGAAATCATCAATGATTTCCCATGATTTACCCTGATTTCTTCTGATTGTCTGAGAGTTCTCCTGATAACATAAACTCAAATGATAATTTATTCAAAAACAGCACATACGTTAAATCTAGAGACCGATTGATTTCCTTGAAATTTCCCATGATTTCCTTAGGATTTCTCTTAATTTGATTTGATTTCCTTATGATTTCCCCTGACTGCCTCAGATATCCTCTTGATTTCCCCCACTTATACATCAGATTTCCCTTGTGGTTCACCCCTGAGGAGTAGACTGCAGGTTAGTTTTTGTACACCAGATTGTGGTTTTAGGGGTAATCATCCATGATTTGCCCTGATTACATAAACTCAAATTTAAAAGATTTTTGAAAACTACGCATGCGTTGGATCTAGAGATTGACTGATTTCCTTGAGATTTCCCATGGTTTTCTTAGGATTTCCCCAGGAATTCTTAAAAGGTTCGTTGATTTCCCCATGATTTTCCTCCTAATTTCCCCTGATTGCCTTAAATTTCCTCGGATTTCCTCTTGATTTCTCCTAACTTGTACACCAGATTTTTTTTTACCCCTCAAACCACAGATCAGTTTTTGTACACCAGATTGCAGTTCTAGAGGAAATCATGGATGATTTTCCATAATTTTTTCTGATTGCCAGTAAGATTACTCAAGACTTCGCCTGATAACATAAGCTCAAATTATAAAGATTTATAAAAACTGCACATGCGTTAGATCTAGAGAATGACTAATTTCCTTAAAATTTCCCATGATTTTCTTAAGATTTCCCCAGGGATCTTTAAAATGTTCATTGATTTCCCCATGATTTCCATCGATTCCCTCATGATTTCCCCTGATTGCCTTAAATTTTCTCGGATTTCCTCTTGATTTCTCCTAATTTGTACAGGGTGGGCCAATTTGGACACTTAATAGGAAACGTCAATTTCTGAGTGAGATACAAAAAAAATGAACTCCCCCACTCTGAGGCACAAATTTCTTCTGATTACCAGTAAGATTATCCAAGAGTTCGCCTGATAACATAACCTCAAATTATAAAGATTTTTGAAAACTGCACATGCGTTAGATCTAGAGATTGACTGATTTCCTTTTAAGATTTCCCATGGCTTTCTTGAGACTTCTCCAGGAATCCTTAAAATGTTCATTGATTTCCCCGTGACTTCCACTGATTTCCTCATGATTTCCCCTGATTGCCTTGAATTTCCTCGGATTTCCTCTTGATTTCTCCTAATTTATACACCAGATTTCCCTTGAAGTTTACCCCTCAAACCACAGGTCAATTTTTGTACCACCAGATTGCGGTTTTAATTTCTTTTGATTACCAGTAAGATTCTCCAAGAGTTCGCCTGATAACATAAACTCAAATTATAAAAAAATTTGAAATTTTCGCATGCGTTACATATAGATATTAACTGTTTTCCTTAAGATTTCCCATGGTTTTCTAAATCTTAAGAAAACCATAGGGATCCTTGAAATGTTCATTGATTTCCTCATGATTTCTATTGATTCACTCATGATTTCCCCTGATTGCCTTGAACTTTTTCGGATTTCCTCTTGATATGCCCTAATTTGTACACCAGATTTCCCTTGCAGTTAACTCCTCAAACCACAGATCAGTTTTTGTACACTAGATTGCAGTTTTAGCAGAAATCATGGATAAATTCCCCTAATTTCTTCTGATTACCAGTAAGATAACCCAAGAGTTCGTCTGATAACATAAACTCAAATTATGAAGATTTTTGAAAACTGCGCATGCGTTAGATCCAGAGATTGACTGATTTCCTTGAGATTTCTCATGGTTTTCTTAAGATGTCCCCAGGGATCCTTAAAATGTTCATTGATTTTTCTATGATTTCCACTGATTATCTCATGATTTCCCTTGATTACCTTAAATTTCCACGGATTTTCCCTTGATTTCCCCTGATATGTACACCTGATTTCCCTTGCAGTTTACCCCTCAAACCACAGATCAGTTTTTGTACAGGAGATTGCGGTTTTAGAGGAAATCTGGATAATTTCTTTTGATTACCATTAAGATTACCTAAGAGTACACCTGATAACATAAACTCAAATTATAAAGATTTTTGAAAACTGCGCATGCGTTAGATTTAGAGATTGACTGATTTACTTGAAATTTCACATGATTTCCTTAAGATTTGCCCTGGTATCCTTTAGGTGTCCCCTAAGTTCCTAATGATTTCCCCTAATTGTCATGTATTTCCTCGAATTTCTTTTTGATTTCTCTTACTTGTACATTAAATTTCCGTTGCAGGTCAGTTTTCAAACCCCAGATTGCGGTTTTAGGGAAAATCATGGATAATTTCCCCCTTCCCTCAGGTTTGGGGTAAATAAATATCCAAATTTCGATATATATCGGTAAGGTACCTATATCGAAACATATTGGAGAGTTGGATATTTATATAAATATCATGATATTTGCCAACCCTGATTTCTTCTGATTACCAGTAAGATTGCCCAAGAGTTCTCCTGATAAATATTCTCAAATTATGAACATTTGTAAAAAAAACTGCGCATGCGTTAGTTCTAAGGATTGGTTGATTTCCTTAAGATTTCCCCCGGGATCCTTAAGATTTCCCTTGATTTCCTTATACTATACTATACTATAGGTACTTGCATTCCAGGGATATGTCAATTATAAAAAGATTAAATTCTTCACAAAATGATACTACAATAACTCTGGGAACTGAACATTTGAAAAATGAAAAATTCTAGCTTTGTTGCTAAACAATAGTGTAATTCTGACACAGTGTCAAAAATCACTGCTAGCACTCTCAATATTTGACATATTCAGTTGAGCGATATATCATTTAAAAACGATCAAATTCCTCACAAAATGACATTAAGTAAGTACCTACAACCACTCTGTCAATTGAAAATTTGAAAATTAGATGAAAAATTCTAATTTTGTTTCAGTGCATTTCTGATACAGTGTCAAAAAATCACTGTGCTAGCTCTGTCAATATTTGACATATTCATTTCAGCGATATGTCAATTGAAAGAGGATTAAAGTGACCCAGTGTAGGTATTTAACTGAAATCTCTGTTGATATCCGGACACAGATTCGAATTAAACTTTCGGAAATATTTTACGTGATACTGAAAACTACAAACTCCCTATGCAATGCATCCAATCAAAATAATAATGCAAAAAGCTCCTCTAAAATGCACATTCTCGCAAAAAAGTCTGCTCTAAAATTCATATTTCATGATATTTACGGTCCGGGGAGAGCCGTAAAATAGATAGGGAGACAATTTTTTGATCGATATTTCGATTTCGTATTTTATTCGAAATACTTACTTTTTCTTAGGCGTCACGTTGGCGCATGACGTGATCGATTGAAGAACCTCTCTATTTTCGATATCGTCAAGGTTCATCATGCCATCGTGGTCGTTGGAGTTAGAATACCAGTTTTCCAGGATCTTAATTTTGATCTGGAACAAAATAGACACTCTTGGTGTTTTGAGGCTCTATAACTTAGAGCTCAAATTCTTCTACAAATTAAAGCTAAAATATTCCTCTTTGACATCACATTAATAATTTACAGAGAAATACATCAGTATAGGGCCACTTAAAGTCGAATTGCATTGGGGTTGGGAGCTGGTTTCTGCTCCCATGGGCGTAATATAATTTCAGGAAGAAATAAGGGCACGCGTTTCAAGTTAACACCCCCAAATTACAACCTTATCAATCATACGATGTGTGGAAATTATGATTATGAGAATTCGATGTGGTTGTTTCGGGGGTGTTGACGTGGGAAAATGTTAACGAACGGCCGATTTTTACGATCCTAGAACAACAAATTCTACAGGAAATTTGAGTGTTTGCTACTTTGTCCAACCATTATCTAACTTTCCTTTTAATTTTTTCAATAAAACTACATGGTTATTATGAGCACCCACAATGAGATTATTGATTCAATTTTTTTTCAATTCCCAACTTTAAGGGCTCTCGGAGCTCAATCAACCCTTATAAATAGCACAAAAATTCAAATTAAACAATTTCACTTACCAGATTAGATGACACAAATTCCGGAAAAAAAAATCACGCCAACACTTGACTCTCCGAGTAGATCCAGAATGTAACTGAGATCTAAATCTCTGATAAGAGGGTAGATTTCGCAGCTCTTTACCCTTACGGCAACCACCCCCTGACCAATCGCGTTTCGAATTTGGGCGAGAACAACCCTCTAGATTCTCTGGATCGATAATTTTCATTGTTGGAAGTGTCGAAGGGGGTGGAGTTTTAGGTAAAGAGGGTCGCTGATTTAAAAAAAAAAATGCAGATTAGGAGTGGAGAGTTTGGAGCTAAGAGTAAATTTTGCCTGAGTCAATACTTTGCCTGATTCTACTGTAAAACTACCTGATTTTCTGGATCCTGTCAGATTCTATTCTTAGGACTTTTGTATCCAGGATTGTTATTTTTAAGGATGTTCTTTTTTATTTTTAAATGACTTCATGAATCTTAAGATCCCGAATGAAGTACACCTTCCTGGGTCTTCTTAGAAGATTCTTGAGGTTTTTGATGGATCCTCATTCTCAGAGGACTCTCATTGCCTACTCAACGAATTATTCTGTTGCAAATGTTCTACTCTCCAAATTTTATAAAATCCTGAATTTTGCAAACATTGAAATTTTCTGGTGCTACCTATTTTGAAAAGCTCAAGAAACTTACAAATGATTCTAAAGTTGATTTTATCCTCAGTTATGTCACAAATAATGCCAACTAAAATTTTCTTTTTTTATTATAAATACCATCAAAATTATCAAAAATGAAAAACTTGGCAAGAAATGAAGCGAGCTGATTTTTTTTCTGAAATCTCGATTGTATAGATCCCGATAAAACATTTCGTTCTACTCTGTGGCATTTGTAGATTGTGAGGGAGCCGTTTCGGCTTTCCAGCCACTCAACACTGCTACCTTTGCAGATATTTTGGACGTGACTCTACATCTTAGATCGTCTCCAGGAAACGTAGACTTCTGCCGAAGGAAGCTATTTTCCTAGGTGTCAGTTGGCCCACTTCTTCTGATGAGAGTGTTGCCCCTTTGAGGAATTTGAGCTTCTTGCAGAATTGGGCTGGACATTCGCAAAGCAGGTGCTCTGCGGTCTCTATTATTACGTCTGAGCAGAATCTGCAAATATAGTCTTCTGTTCTGCCCATCCTTAGGTGGTATTTCACCAGGCAGTGTCCTGTGAGCAGTCCTACGACCATTCTGATGTCTGGTCTGCTCATGTTTAGGAGCTGTTCAGCTCTTTTTGCTGAAAGGGTGATAAACCTTTTTGACTGTCTTACTCCCGGAGTGTGCCTCCAATATGATGACAGTTGGTCTTTCTCCCATTTGTTGAATTCTTCCATGATGAGGCTCTTCATTAAGCCACAATAGGGCTCTGGTCCATGGTATGGTGTTGAGGCCCCTTCTCCATTTCCTTCTATGCCTCGATGATGAGGCAGCCACATCAGCGTTACCAGCGTTACCTGGTTTTTGTCTCGCTAGTGTTTTTAGGGTGTTCACACTCCCAGACTAGTTTTGAGATGCACTTAAAAGCCCTCAAGGATTTTAAGGCAGCTTGGCTATCTGATATATAGTATAAATATGTGTTTTCCTCTGAGGCACTGGTTGGGACACTCTTGTGCACATGTTTACGGCAAGCAATTCGGCTTGAAATATTGTAAGATGTTTGTCCAATGCCTTGGAGAGCTTACGTGTAGGGCCGGAAATGCCTAGTCCAGCTACTTCCGTTAGTTTGGATCCATCTGTGTACCACAGAGATGCATTGTCTGCTTGTGGTAATTCTTTATTCTCCCAGATTTGGCGCTCGTTTATTATCACTGCAAATGGAATCTCTCAGTTCAATTTGACCATTATGTGGTCCCTTGGTTTGCTGGCATTCTCCAGTTTTATAATTTTAAAGATGCGCAGGTGTCCCCTCAGATCACCAGGCTTGAACTTGTTTGTTTGAAATAGCCTGTGAGCGCTAATTATTGCCTCCTTTTTCACACATAGGTGAAGTGTAGGCATGTTAAACAGCGTTTCTAGGGCTGCGGTGGGGCAGGTTGACATTGCTCCCGTTATTCCTAGGTATATCAGCCTTTCTTCCTTGTTTAGTTGAGCTACTTGATGGTCCAACAGGGACGGGTTCATTTATTTGACACAAACCAGTTGGTTATTGTGTTGGATGTAAATGTGTCAGCTAGAATCACGTCTAAGACCTCTTGTTTGATGGCGTTGATGAAAGTGGGCTTGTTACCCTTGTTGATAATGTCTATGTTGTTAGAGTTCAAATATTCAAAAAGATACTTACCCCTTAAGTTTGTATCGGTGCTTCCCCATCCGACTTGGTGATGGGCGTTGGCGTCTGCCCCGATAATATAATATCTGTTTCTCACTTTGCATCACGTGAAGAGTCGTCGAACGATCTCTGTCAGTGCTGAGTTTTCATCACCTGGAAAGTAGGCTGAGGCTATGAGAATATGTTTTGAGCCCCCCTCCGTTGGTACCCTTCAACCAAGGTAGCTGCCAAGTTTTGAATGATGGACTCTGGAACAGGTTAATTGTGTAAGAAAACTCTCAAGATTCCAAAACTTGGATCATTGCAAACTTTTAGATTCAGGATTTTTTCTTTAAATGTTCTTTTTTTTAGATGACTGCATGAATCTTAAGCTCCCGAATTCTGCAAACCTTGTAAACAGTTTATCGATTTCTTGAGAAAAACTGAAAAATTTTTGAATCCTGAATTCTAAGTCATTACTTTCCAAATTTGCTGATTTTTTTCAAAAATTTCCTGAATCCTGATTCTTGAGCCTTGATACCTATTGGTACCTATCTAAATTTCCTGACTCTCTAAGAGAAGATTCTTGATTTTTTTTTTTAAATCATGTTAGATTTTTATAGAGCTTCCCTTACCTACTTTCTAAATTATTCTGTTGCAAAATGTTCTACTCTACAAATCGTATAAGATGCTGAATTCTGCAAACCTTGAACGTTTCTAGAGCTATTTTGGAAAACTCCAATAAACCTTAGATCGTTAATTCTGAGTAACATTTTCCAAATTTCCTGTTCCTTTTTTAAGAAAACTCTCAAAACTCCTCTAAACTTGAATCATTGCATTACAAACTTTTAGATCGCGGATTACTCTATTGCTAGTGCTCTTAGAACCCGAATTCTGAAAACCTTTAAAAAAAACTCAACAAAGTGCGACTTATTTCCACTGGCAAATTAGCGCGGTAAAGTGCACTTTACCACTCGCTGTTTACCGCCGAAAATATTTCGAAAAATTGTTTTCGCATTTAAACAAAATTAAACAAAAAAAATTAAATAATATGTTTTGTGAATTTTAAAACTAAAACAACCTCAGGTAGATTAATATAAATACAATGTATATTGATTACTAATTATCACGATAAGTGTTCGGCACAAAAATAAAATATTAAATTTTTTTGTTATTAAAATGCGTTAATTATAGAATAAAATATTAATAAAATTCGAATAGTAAACAACTTATGTTCGGATTCCTTCAACTCGCGCGAAGCGATATGGGCACAAGAAAACACGCAAGATTTTAAAATAAACAGAGGAGATGATCGTCTCAGACCAGTCTGGCGCGTCCATTTTTCCTTTTTAATTAATTTCCGCTATTAATAGACTGCTCACTGCTAGTGACAACTTCGATTTATTTTCAAATCAACGACCCCGTGTACTAATTAGCGTTTTTATTTTCGTTTCATTTCAAAGAGATAATTGGCGATTTATTTACGAAATGTATGAGGGGTTTTGGAGTAAAAACCATACCTACTGGATTTTTATATTTGAACAGTTAAACTACCCCAATGTATGGCCACATTATACCTACATCAAGAATTATTTCAAACTAAGTGCAGATATTGCACATTTTCTTTAAAAAAGTGCCAATTTTTAAGTCGTTATCAGTCACACAATGCGACGTCAGACTTTGTTCAATTTACAACGTTTTAACATCCTTCCAAATATCATTCGAAGTCATATCATATAGTCCGCTGTTGACTTGGAGTCGCATTCGACGACTTTCTACAGTTTCAAACATCATGGTTTTATGCCACAGAGTAGAACGAAATGTTTTATCGGGATCTAATCAAGATTTAAAAAAAAAATGAGCTCTCTTCATTCTTTGCCATTTATTTGTAAATTTCTTGAGTTTTAACTTCAAGGTTTGCAAAATTCAGGATTTTATAAAATTTGGAGAGTAGAACATTTCCAACAGAATAATTCGGTGAGTAGATATTGAGAGTGCTCTAAGAATGAGGGGCCATCAAAAACCTCAAGAATTTTTTTTGGAAGGCCGAGGAAGGTAGGTATAGCTTAGAATTCGGGATCTTAAGATTCGTGAAGTCATCTAAAAAGAAAAAAGAACATTCTATATAGAAGGCTTTAACGCCCCCTAATGAGCTGTGGGACCTTGACGTCGTGGGGGCTCAGTAACCTGCACGGACTCACTCCTTCCATAGTGAGAATCGGCGGTGAAGATGGAGGGAGTGCTCTATTACTAGTTTGCGAACTCCAGATATAGGGTCACCTCTGATTTAACTTAGCCTTCACACACTAATGCGGATCTCTGTGTCTATTCTCGAAACCGGAGAACAGCGTTCCGACGAGAACGATTGCTCTGTCTTTGTCAGTGTTATGAAAATATAAATATGGGCGACTAAGACAGAATCTTCATTCTCATGAGAACGCTGTTCCCTGGTTTCGAGAATAAACACCCTGATGCTGGTGTAAGTGACGCTTCTTTCTCTTGTCACTTGTGGGAATAATATGGACTACTTTGGCTAAATAAACCTTCACATACAGTGACCGCCATTTTGTGCCCAACTTCTTGCTACTTTTAAATATGAATACCCATTGATGAATACTTATATAGGATTTAAATGGACATCATTCATCATAAAAAATTGAAAACAACGTATATATTTGATAATTATAATAATCGGATATGTTGTTTCCGATTTTTTATGATGGATGTCCATTTAAATCCTATATATTCATATTTAAAAGTAGCAGGATGTTGGGCACAGAATGGCGGCGTTTTCCATGTGAATATATGGGATTTTAACAACCAAACACAAAAAAAAAAACCTAGAGGAGGTCTCAGAAATGAGCGACTCCTCATCAACAATATCCACCATCACCGAAGGAGAAGCAGCTTCGGCAGCAGACTTTTTAGTTGAGGTAGCCACTGGAG